GAAACAGTCTCTTTGTGCTTTAGTACAGGGGTAAAACTGCGTACATCTGACCCCCCTACCCCACCATAGGTGGGAGCCTTTGCGGCACTGGGGTAATGATGATGATGATGATGATGGACATCTATGCTAGATATGAGTGTTACTAAAAGCTTGAATGATCTGTGAAACGATGTGAGTTTCACTTTCAGTAAGGTAGCGCTAAAAACTATATTTTTTTCTCATGTAGATTGCAGCAATATCAAAACAGATAACTGCTGCAGATGGAGAAGCACAACACGATGACTCAAATCCACTTGAACTTTCTTTTGACATGCGTGCTGTCGTAGCTGCCACTGAGGATCTTTTTTCATTCATATTGTCGGAAAAGGGGTCGAGGGTGCGCGTGTTCATTGTCAGGGATATAATCAAGGCAGCTGATATTTTTCTTCAGGATGAAATTCTGTATGATCTTTTCAGTGAGAAACCTCATTCAAGGGATATGTTGAAGTCTGAGGTACGTCCTAATTACTGATTTTAGTAGTAGAAAATTTAGGTCAAGTCTGCTCTAAAATATACTTATATAGTAACTCGGACTCGATCCTTTTGAAAATGGGCCCAACATAAAACATTCAGGTCTTCCGGCTGGTCCCAGAATCAGGTGAATATATTTGGTGAACATGTTTTCAGATTTGAAAATGGAAAACTGGAAAATGAAAACAGAAAATTGGAGAACAAAAAAATGGAAAATCAAAACGGAAAATTTGAGAATGGAATACTGAAAAGAATATTAAAAAATATCTCCGAAAGCACTTTCAAACCTCCAACTTCTACATTCCCCGAAAACACTTTCAAACCTCCAAAAGCTAGGCCAGACGGAGCCTTAATCAGCCAACATATTAGTGGAAAATAAAAGGATGCCGCAAAATATTATTTCACAGAAATTGATCAGTTTATATAACTTAGGAAGAGTGAATATTCTACTGAGGGTGTAAGATTCTATATGCATTACAAAGGTGCCTCCCTTTTGGTAGGGACATGCAATGCTACTGAGGGTGGCCAAGGGTTTTCAATCTATGGGACTAGCAGTGAAACTGGCTCCAGAAGTTTGGATTTCCATGCTCATCCGCTTGGCTGTACGGTCCGAGTTTCAAGTATTTGCGATGGATATCATTTCAGCATTGGTTGATCACTCCAACAATAGAATACCGCCTTCGCTTTGGATCATTATCTCAAGACTAATTCACAAGTGCAATTAAAAACTCTGATATGTTGTTAATAATGCTATCCTCTTTTTGTTTTTGTTTTTTTTATGTTTACCACAGTCCTCCATAGTTTTGTCTCTGTACCAAGAAACCCACCTGAATGCAAAAGCAGACAACTTCTTGCATCCTCCAATTAAATTAGGTAGCAAACATGTACAGGTTTGGAGCCTTACACTTATTTTTCAGACCGCTGCCGTTGTTTTTGCTATGGACAGCTGTACAGGTTTTGGCATCCACTTTGACCATTTGCTTCTGTTGAACATTTAATTCCTTAACTGCCTGTTTGGATTGAGTGTTTGGATGGAGTGTTGGGAGGTGTTTGTAATGGAAGTGTTGAGGAGTGTTGATTTTAACACTTGTTTGGGAGATTTTTTAAAAAAATTGTGTGTTAGTAAGTGTTTAAAAGTGCTAGAAGAAACCTCCCTAAGACTTCAATGAGTACTTTTTTAACACCTGAAATTGGAGTATTTTAGAGAGTGGTGGACAAACCTTGCCCCTCATATTGCCGTTCTGACTCCCGGCTGCTGTAGTTCTGCTCTCATCCATCAGTACTACAACCAACCAAACATTATGAGATCTCTTTTCACATACAAAGCCTTTGTACTAGGAAATCGCTGTATTATGATTTATGAGATCTCTATCCTAACACTAAACATATTACAACACATATTATGCGATCTCTATCCTAACACTAAGCATATTACAACACATCTAACACAGTAGGGATTATCTGATCCAAATGCATATTAAAGTGAATATTTACATACATATAATTATATAAATATGGAAAAGATCTTGTTCAGCCGGAGGGACAGGATCTTCCATCCGGCCACTTAGGGATGGACTCGGGCCGGGCGGCCCGGCCCGGAATCGGCCCGGCCCGGTTACTGTTTGAACCGGCCCGGCCCGGGAACCGGCCCGGGGGGCGGTTCGGGTCGGGTCGGCCCGGTTACTGTGCGGTTCGGGCCCGGGCCCTTTGATTGGCGAACCGGCCCGGCCGGTTCGGGCCAAATTAATTTTTTTTTTTGAATTTTTTTAAGTTTTTGGGTTGGGCTTGGTATTTTGGGCCATTTGAGGTGGTTTGGGGTGGTTTGGGGGTGAGGGGGGAGGGTTGGGGGTTAATTAGGAAAAGCCAAAAAAAAAAATAGAACTGAGGCCCGGCCAGGCCCGGACCCGGGATTACCCGGGCCGGTTCCGGGCCTCCCATTTCTGAACCGAGGCCCGGCCGGGCCCAGGCCCGAACCGGGCCCGAACCGGAACCGGTCCACCCATACGGCCACTGCCGTTTGGGGTGGTTTACAGTTAGGGGTGGACCGGTTCCGGTTCGGGCCCGGTTCGGGCCTGGGCCCGGTTCGGGCCTGGGCCCGGCCGGGCCTCGGTTCAGAAAAAGGAGGCCCGAGCCCGAACCGGTGGTGGGCGGTTCCGGTTCCGGGCCAAAACTGGGCCGGGCCGGGCCACCCGGAATGTTTTTTTTTTTCTTCTTCTTCTTCTCTTATTTAACCCCCTACCCCTCCCCCTCCACCCCAAACCACCTCAAATGGCCCAAAATACCTAATCCAACCCAAAACTTAAAAAAATTTAAAAAAAAAAATTAAATTCCGGCCCGAACCGGGCCCGGCCCGGCCGGGCCGGTTCACTAAACTGGAGGCCCGGGCCCGGACCGGTATACCACCGGGCCGGGAGGCCCGAACCGGAACCGAACCGGTTCACCGGGCCGGTCCGGGCCCGCACAGTAGCGGGCCGGTCCGGTTCCGGGCCGAGTCCATCCCTATTTACAGTGGAATATTTTGATGAATTTAGTTAATTTTGATACATATTTTGAATATTTCATGTATCCAGTTAATTTTTTTTAGAGAGAATTACCTAAATATGAGTAAAAAATTTTGAAATTCCAAAATAAGATTATTAAGTTTGGCATTATTAGGCTTTAAACATGACATTTTTTGGCAGATTACTCATATTTAGGGAATAAAAACATGAAAGTCTTAATTTGGAATTTCAAAATGTCTTTTTCCTAAAGGATTTCTAAAATAAGTAGTGATCTTTATTTAAGAAGCTTTTAGTTCCTTTTCGTTGCTAAGCAATCGCTTTGTACTTATCTCTCAATTGCCACGTACATTTCAGGATTGTTAGCTAACTCAGTTTATGAATGATTTATTGTGCATCACTAATTCACTATCACGTAGGAAGAAATAGTAGGCTAAGATGATGTGTGACATGGAATTTCCAAATGATGGCTTGACTGATTGTAACGTAAAAGTAAACGTATTTATATGATGTTTTTTAAGTAGAAAATTTAAATGATGGATTGAAAATAGTAGAATGATCTATTTGACATTTTGACCTCTTTCCTTTAGTTTCAAATTTCTAATAGTGTTGTGATCTTTTTTTGGAAGGCAACTATGAGTCTTTTTTTTTGAAAAAAAAAAAGTTAAAAGCCCCATGTTTTCTTTATTTGTGTGAAATGTCTTTATGGAATTATGGATTAGTAAATAAATACGGTGCGAGTATTATTTTTTATTATTATATACGCAGTCTTATGTAATTGAGTAATTCACTCATTCACATGACTAAAGTTATTAAACCTTTTGGTAATATTTATATGCAAGATAAATATAGACAATATCGACTCTTCTTATGAAGTCAATACTAGTATAAAAAATAAGACAAGATAAATTGAGAATGGATGAATTCTTATTTGACAATTTTATATTAATTAATGTAAAATTACGTGTACACACATTGCTTATGAAATGAATTATTTTTTAAAAACAATTACGTAGTATTATTTGGTAACATTGAAATTGGCTGAAGTTATAACTTATTACTAGTATTATTAAAAAATACATAAATTTATTTTATTAAAAAATTGTAAAATATTACATGAACACATTCTAAAATGGTATCTTCATCAAATTCAATTACAATTGTAACTTAATTTATTATTACACAGAAACAACGAATTAGGATTTATGTGTACATGTGGGTTAATGCTTTTAAAAGAAAATAAATATTATTTTTTCACTTTTCTCATTTAAAGTATTTATTCATTAATTTAGTGTTTGTTTTCTAGCCTTTGAAGCTAAGAAAGATCAAACTCCTTTCTTGAATGAACTCATTAATTTGAGTGTTTTTCTAGCATTCAAAATGTAAGAATACAATTAACATTCTAAATTTTATGTATGAATTAAACAATTTTACATTCAATTGATTTAATTTAATTTTAATTACATACTCATAAAAGTTTTGTGTGTTTAAAATTTTGTACATAACACCATAAAATTATTTATATAAAAAATTTAAATAATGATGCTAACATAACTTTTTATGTAATAATTGACACACACAATGATAAAAAAAAATTGACACACACACATTATTACATATGTAAGTTTGAAATACATATCTTCCACTTTTTTAAAATTTGGGATATTTAAAATATTTTTTCCATAAGGTAACTGCAACTTTATTTGAAGTTATGAATTTGGTGAAAATTTGATGAAAGGTCCTACATTTTCTACATCTTCCACATTATTACATATGTAGGTTTGAAATACATATCTTTCACTACATAAAAATTGAGATATATATACTATATATGTAAGTTTGAGATACTTATCTTTCACTTTTTTAAAATTTGGGATATTTAAAATATTTTTTCATAACTTTATTTGAAGTTATGAATTTGGTGAAAAATTGATGAAAGGTCCTACATTTTCTAGAAAGTTATTATTCTATGAAAACCGACTCCAAGTGTGATAACAAGTGTATTGAATAATGGTTTCCATTTCAGATATGGTTGCCAGCCAGCCATGAAGAATGACCAACACACACACACCATCATCTCCATCCTTTTTTATATTAAAAAAATTATTATTCGAAAGATTTATTTATGGATTCATTTATTCCTGTTTTTACTCTCTACCTGTGACCTTCCTTCCTTATAATCTTTGGCGTCGTTTTTTTTCATGATTTCTTGTTGAAGGCTTTCTCTCTCCTCCAGGTATCTTCTCGCTGCCCATTCTATCATTGCACAGTGAAATGATAAATTCGTAATAATCTTAGTGCGGTTGATGGGTTTTCCCATTTTTTTCTATTGGATTATAGTTCACTTCAGATCTAATTGTTGCCCTTCTGGGAAAAAAAATTGTTGGATTAGTTAACAAAGCGTGTGGCTCGTGATTTTTCTGTTATTTTTTAACAGGTTTGATTTCAAGTGATTGGGGGTGATTCGAACGATGGCAACCCTGAAGAAGAACAATTAAGATTAGTTTTGTTTATTTCATTGAATAATTGGAAGGAAGTCGAGATCAAAGTGGATATTATGGGTTATCTGAATTCAGTATTGACTTCGTCTTCTAACAAAATGGATGCGGATGATGCACCCGTCAGCGGTGGAGGTCTCAGGTGATATTCCCGAATCAATTTCTTGTGACATTTTTGTTTTTATTCTTAAACATGGGATATGATTTCATGATTTTACTTGTGCTGTGTTTGAAATATGCCTCATTTAGTTATTTGATCTTATTTCTTTATGTTTACATGTATATTTAAATAGCAAAAGAACCTCCAGGTCGACATCTTTTTTAGGTAGTTTGTATTAGCCTATCGGGCAACCCACGAGGCCATGATGCGTTATGTGGCAGGAATCATACATTTTTATCATACCATGTAGACAAATGTGGAACTAGAAGGTGTTTAAAAGAAAAATTCCTTGCCATTGGTATCCTAGATAATAGTCAAATGCTTGAGGGCTGAAGAAGTTAGAAATTTTTAAGAGAAATTGGGGATCATTCCCTGTGCTTGGAACTTGGAAGTTTGATAACAAAATAATTTGTTTTTTTGCTAAGTATTCTGTCTCATTGTTTCTTTATGAAACATGCATGCATGGAAAAATTTCATTTGCAATGGAATCTCTGACGCCTACTTTCTATTTTTTTCTGTGGCTAATTAATTCTTTCGGCTCATACTCCATAATTTATAATGACAGGTGATGGTCCATTTTGCAATGATGAAATTTTTTCCTATTAAATCAATAAATCTATCATAGGGGAAAAGGAGTAATATGACCTCATGCAAAATGTGTATTTATTGTTAAAGAAGTCATGGTTTTAGATATGTGCTAAATTAAATGGACAAATTTTCTGTGTTAGACACACATGGATGTCCCTAATCTGTCTCTACAGGGTTATCCCTAATCTGTCTCTACAAGGTACCTAATATGTCTTTTTCCGTATTTATATTTGTTTGGTCCAAGTAGGTCAGCACCTTGTATGTGAAATTGTGGATACTAATTGAAGTATTGCTATACTGAGAATTCTGGTAATTTTGAAAGAATTTTGAAAACTGTGTTGTTCTATTATGGGTTGAAATCCTTGATTAATGATGTCTTGTTTCTCTTTAGAAAATCCCATCTTCGGATTAAATTACAATTGTGTTTTTTCATTCAAATCAAATTCGTTGCTTTGTGTATTCCTAAGAATAGTTTAGGATTGTGTGCTATTAAGTTTGAGAAGCGAAAAGGGTTGCTAGTAGCTCGCTCCCTAAGACATGAGTTCATTTGAGGTGTGCCACCTCATGAACCCGAGTTACAAAGGATAAAGATTATATTCATTTTAATAATCCTAATTCCTAACTGTCCGAAGACCTAGAGAACACGCTGGACAGTACTCATAATACAGAAACACAATAGAACTACAAACAGTGTGAACTTTAATGTTTCAAGGTAGTCCCACTCCCAAATTTCAAAGGTTGAAGCAGTCTGAAGATGGCACCGTCGGCCATCACACAATGTTCTGACTCTTTTTGTTAGAAGTTCTATGAAGAAGACTCAAAGTTCAAGCATGTCTAATTAAATTTAGAAGTGACGTTTCAATCTTTTTTAAATTAGATGGGTGCATGTGAGCCACACCTCATCCGCACCCTGACATATGCACGGAAGGCGCCATCCCTCTTCCTCACCCTTCACAACTGTTCTTGTGATATAATCCATGAAGGCGTCAACTTCATGAATTCTTAAATTTAAGTAACAGTAATTTATGATTCGGTTAATAGGACTCTATTTGCTGATTTACATTTTACCTGACAACTATCAATAGTCAGGATGGGAAATTTAGCTATGGATACGCAAGCTGCTCAGGAAAAAGGTCATCAATGGAGGATTTCTATGACACAAGGATTGATGGTATAGATGGAGAGGTTATTGGTCTATTTGGAGTTTTTGATGGTATGTGTATATGTATCTCTCTCTCTCTCTCTCTCTCTCTCTCTCTCTCTGTTTTTACTGGAAGATAATCCCCAAGTAATGGAATAAAAATGTTTTTTTGTCATTCCTTCAACTTGTAAAAGTAAAACCATTTACATTGATTCACAATGCTCTCGATGTTTTCACTGTCCTGCCCCCACAAAAGTTTAGAATGGCTTCCATTATTGTATTATTATAAAGTTCGGTTCAAATAAAAATAACCTACCGATGAAAATGAGAAAATTGGATGCACTAGATTTGAATTTAAGAGATCCAAATATGCCAACTTATAAATGTGTGACTGTGCACATTTTTCGCAGGGAACAATTTTTTTATTTGAACTACCCTATAACATAGAGATGGGGCGGTTCCAGTGAAAATGGTGTCAGTTTTTCACAATGAGGCCATTTTTTAATCTCATTGTTTAATATAGTTTTGCTTTGTGCATTAGAAATATGAGGAGGGCTAATGTTAATTCATGTTTATGATGAGTGCTGCCAGACTAAGGGTAATCAGTTCATTAGCTTTTTTAGCCTGGGGGTTAGGGGGAGGGGGGCTAAAGGGAGCCTGGGGGAGCTGAAACTCGAAGTTTCTAACCCTAGACCTCCCGTATCGGAGAGTGAGTCGGCGACCAGCTGAGCTAGACCCCTTCCTCTAGTACTCCTAAATGAAGGTTAGGACTTAGGATCATCAGTAACAAATTAACATCTATCAACAAACATGTTTGAGTTTTTAGTGGGTGATGGAGATTACTATAATGCTAAAACTATTCTACTATAAATGAAGGCTAGGACTTAGGATCATCAGTAACAAATTATCAACAAACAACAAACATGTTTGAGTTTTTGGTGGGTGATGGAGATTGCTATGATGCGAAAACTATTCTACTATTCCAGAATATGGACTTTCATTGTCAACTAATTGGTAATATTAACGACTAGTCATCTATAACACTTGACATGTTCTTCTGGCATCATTTTAACCTTAATCTTGTTGCATTGTATCCATAGTGCATATACCTTCCATTAATTAGGATGCACCTTTCCAAAAGTAATTATTTTTCATATTCAGCAACCATCACATGCTTTTCACTTGGCTTTCTGTTCACATCTCCTCTTTATTTAGGTCATGGAGGGGCTCGAGCTGCAGAATACGTTAAGCAAAACCTTTTCAGCAATTTGATTAAACATCCAAATTTTATTTCAGATACCAAATCAGCAATAGGTATGCTGCTCACAATGTACTACTATCTTGTCTTCTTTAATACAGCGTAACTAAACAATTCAAATTGATACTTTATTTTGTTTTGCAGCTGATGCATACAGCCATACAGATTCTGAATTTCTAAAATCAGAAAACAGTCAGAATAAAGATGCTGGTTCAACCGCTTCTACTGCTATTCTCGTTGGCGACCGTTTATTGGTTGCTAATGTTGGGGATTCAAGAGCTGTTATCTGCCGTGGTGGGCATGGTAAGATTTGAAATTTCTAACCCTGTGTTGAGCTAATCTGTTGCTCCTTGATGCAAACTCTGTTGTTTTCTCATCTTTACTTTTATCTTTCTTCGCCCATACTGAATGAGTTGATGAGGAAGAAACTAATCTTTCGTTAGAGAAAAAAGCAAATATTTATTGACCAACTGAATGAGTTGTCTGTGCGCGAACATGCAAGTGCACGTTAGCTTGCATTTATAATTGGCAAATTATGCAAATTCCTTTGTTCATTAAAATCCTATAGCAGCGTTGGGAATGTAAAATCCATTAATATCGGGTCGAGACGGAAAATTTTACTGCATATGATAGATGCTTAAATCTGGAACAGCCCTCCTGATCGAACATGGTTTTATTGCTTGCAGCCATCGCTGTTTCCCGGGATCACAAGCCAGATCAGAAGGATGAGCGGCAACGCATTGAAGAGGCCGGAGGTTTTGTGATGTGGGCAGGTTTGTCCATTTCATCAAATATCCTTTTAAATGATGGTTGGTTGGCTTGTGGAGATATTTCAGTCCTTTAGGGATTAAAAAATGTGGTTCAAATGTATTGGACAGGTACCTGGCGAGTTGGAGGTGTACTTGCCGTTTCCCGAGCATTTGGCGACAGGCTTTTGAAGCAATATGTTGTTGCAGATCCAGAAATCAAGGTACTGTGAACCTTTGTAGTTTATCTCTAATATGTGGAGTATCATTGATTCTGGAAGTTCAAGGGACATCATATTTCCCCTCATAGATATGTTTATACATTCATGCATACATGCTTAGTTCCCCAAGGCTGCTCTTTTAGATTACGGCTTAAATCTTGCTTTTGAATAATGTTAGATATGAAAGTAATGTGTGTGTGTGTGCTCTGAATTCTGATATAAGTTATCACTAATCTTGCTGTATATTTATGATGAGTTTAGACACTATGTAAGTATATATATCAAAATTGCAGGAAGAAAGGGTTGACAGTTCACTTGAATTCCTTATCCTTGCAAGTGATGGGCTATGGGATGTAGTGACAAATGAGGTTTGCAATTTTTAAAATTATATCTTTTATCAAATGTCTTCTTGAAAACGTTTTCTTTACACGTCATCTTGAATGGTGATCTTGATAAAAATCTTTTTATACGTTAAAAAAATAATTTCTTCTAAAATATTGTAATGTGTGTACTGTTTGAATTATTTTGTTGGTGGTATTTGGTCACATTAAAAATGGGAAAAAATGTCAGGAAGCGGTGTCGATGGTGAAGCCAATAAAAGAGCCGGAGGAAGGAGCAAAAAGGCTGATGCAGGAGGCTTATGAGAGGGGGAGTTCAGATAACATCACCATTGTCATCGTCCGTTTCCTGGCTAATGACGATGATCATCATCCAGTTGCTGTCGTGGATTCATCTTCTTCTTCTCACAACAGTAGTAGTGGTGCGTCTCTGGTTAACTAGTTATAGTAATACTAAGCAAGTGATATGACGTCTTTCTTTCTTTCTTTCACACAAGCTTTTAATGTAATTTGTAAGTAATACACTTATAGGATGATGGGGGATAACATAAACTGAAGAAAGGACTCCACAGTAGAATGTGTGCGACTACCAGCTTATATTACACTGAAACGAGTGAACCTCTACTATTATTGTTGTTGTTTTAATTGTGATTCTGTGTTTCATTACTATTGCTGTTTTTGTTTTTATTGTTGTTACATTATTTTATTATTGTTCTCGGGTATATCATATGATTTACTCGTTTTCATTATTTTTTAATTATATCATTTCGGCAGAATGCAAAACCTTGCATTTCGGGTACTTATGCTACAGATGTTGTTTGTTGACTTTTGATGAAGAATCAATTACACCTCGAGATAGCTGTTAGAAATCATTTGCAATGGAGTCAAAGATTTATTATTTTTGGCTTGAGAATATGATGGAATAAAGCAAAATGGCTCACTGAACTGTTTGCGCTTCTTTGTTACGAAGCAGCAGTCAGTCCATGCAATTTTGGACGTGATTTTCACTACGGGTCATCCGGAAACAGGGGTAAGACTGTGTACAGGGGTAAGATTGCGTATAGGCATGGACCCGGGCCGGGTCAAGGCCCGGTCGGGCCTCGGGTCCTATAAGGGTAGGCCCGGGACCGGCCCGGTCAATGACCGGTTCCGGTTCGGGCCGGGTCACCCGCCCGGGTCACGGGTCGGGCCACCCGCCGGGCCGGGCCGGGCCGGGTCAATAATTTTTTTTTTTTATATTAATTATATATTATACAAATTGCTATTAAAAACAAAGTTCAAGTGCATTTATTTGAAATAAGAACTACATTTGAGAATTGAGAAAAAAATAACAATACGAAATACATTTTGTAAATTGTAATGAATATCAATTGGGATTTCCGCCACCGTTGGTTGTTGTTTTCCCTTTGTCACAGAACTTCATATGTTTTATTGGCATCCCGTATCCGTATGAACGCCCCAAGCAACAGTCTTTCTTGCACCACCTGCAAGTTGCCCACCACAGTCCGGTCTTCGGGTCCTTCCACTTGTCAAAATTGTTTTGCATAAGAGAAGATGTACTTTCCATATTTAAAATGGTATATGTATAACACTATAAGTAATTAAGTAGGAATGTAGGATAATAAGAGAAGATAAAGATGGAGAAGAGTTTGAGAAGAATTGGAGAAAAGGTGTAGAAAAATGTTAGAAAATAGATGTATTTATAGGTGTTTTTGAACCCCACTCCCCACACCACCACCCCCGGGACCCCCCTGCCCCCCACCCATAGCCCCAACGGCTATATAGCCGTTTGGGAGCTTTGAATTTTTTTTTTTTTTAAGTTATACACATATTGTAAAATAAATTAATTAATTTAATGAATTAAGTAAAACTAAAACAAATGTTACAAAATAGGTGTATAAGTATTTAAACAAATTACATATTCTAAATGTATTTTTAATTTAAAAACCGGCTTTATATTTTAGAAAAATAATTTTAAGTCGTTAGATTGTAACCAATTAATTAATTTGAGAAGTGCTACATATGAAAAAGTGAACACATATTTATTTGAAATATGAAGTACAAGTTTACAAATTAATTTGAACTACAACTACAAATTTACAATTTTGAAATATGAAGTACAAGTTTACAATTTTGAAATATGAAGTACAAGTATAAATAAATTTGACAAGTGCTATAAAATACATTTTGTACTAAATTCTAAAATACTAATCAATCGGAATCTCCGGCATAGGTAGAGCCACCATCGGTAGTTGAGTCATCCATAAAATCTTGGGAGGGGGTGATGCTCAATTCTTGAGTTCTACGTGCGGCCTTCAACCAATCGTGGTAGCATATAAGCGTCTCAAGAGACTCCGCGCTCAATCTCGATCTAGATGCCGTTAGGACGTTGCCGGCCGAACTAAATTCTTGTTCCACAGCAACTGTTGAAACCGGCATTGATAGTACTTGCTTAGCCATCCGTGCTAAAATCGGGAACGTTCTTTCTTTTGACTTCCACCAGTCTAGAACGTCGAAGTCATCATTTTCTTCAAAATCAACTTCATATGTTAAATACAAAGTAATCTCATTCAATGCGCTTTGTTCAGTGACGTGAGTTGTTTTAGTTTTTTTCATAAGATTGTCAAATGCAGATTTAAAAATCGATTTTCCTTTAGATGAAGATGTTCGTGGCGGGGGAGGGGGAGCGTTGCCATATTGTGAACGAAACTCATTAAATAAGGCATAAAATAAAGTACTAACCTCGTTGTATTCCGTTTTCGGATCTATGGGGTTATCCTCATACATTGGAAATTCACCAAAAAACGCAAGATAATAGAAGTTGAAACAACTTTCCAAATTAGCAAGTCTATAACGAGGATCGAGAATAAATGCAATACCATAAATATGGGGAATATGCGCATAATATTTTAAAAACTTTTCCTTCATATAATCACAAAAATAATGAACGAAAACGGCATTTTGAAATTCTTTAAAAGCATCGGCGAGATTAACAGCTTGTGGAATAAATTGGTTTGCGGTAGGTTTATAAACATGACTAAAAGTTTCAGTAGCATTAAAAAAATATATCAAAACATTACAAATTTTTTCGCAAGTGTCGATCTCAGCCGCGTTTATAATATAGTTATCATGTTCTTTTAAAAAAGCAGGAAAATGTTCTTTATATCTAAGAACAACTTTAAGTAATTTATAAGTACTATTCCAACGAATACTCAAATCTTTAGGAAAAGCAACATATCTCACACCTCTTTCAGTCAAATAACTTTGCCATTTTAATCTAAGTTGACCATTACCCCAAATACGTCTAACCCCCCCCTTTATTACCTCCATGGAATCTCCTAACGCTTTTAAACCGTCTTGCACACATAAATTTATAACATGACATGCACACCGTTGATGAAAAAATCTACCCATCAAAGAATTGGCACCACACAACTCACGCAATCTAGGTATAGCAGCAGTATTATTAGTAGCATTATCGAAACCAATAGCAAACACCTTATCAATCAAATTATACTCAATTAAAATACGCTCAATCAAAATATAAATATGTTCAGCGGTGTGACGATCATTAAATTCACGAAAAGCAAGAACACGTTTATGCATATTCCAATCCTCATCAATATAATGTGCAGTCAGACCCAAATAATATAAATGATGAAAATCATCCTCCCATATGTCAGAACAAATAGTAACACGCCCATCAAAGTTTGCAAAAAAATTTTGTAACCTTTCCTTTTCCGCATTATAAAGCCTTATTATTTCTTTCTTAACAGTTTTGCGACTATAATTTCTAAATTGAGGATTTAAACTACCTTGTGCATAATCTCTTAAAGCAAGACTTTCAGATAACAAATAAGGCAAATTTTCTTCACAAATTAAGTTAGCCATACCAGTCAAATTTTGTGCATCATTGTAGGCGAAATTACCAAAAGGTTGAGAGTTCGCAAACCTCGATATTTGAGTTTGCTTCCCCGTTCCGCCGCCTAATTTTGCGTACTCCACGGGGTGCTTTGACTTAAGATGCCTTGCGGCGGATCTGTATCCGCCGGAGGTTCCCAAACTATAATTGTTGTTGCACCACTTGCAAGTTGCGTGCCAATAGCCAGTTTGTGGGTCCTTCCATTTATCAAAATTATTTTGCATTAATTCAGACTTACTTTTTTTATTACCGGTGGCGGTTTGGGATGAGGCAGGCGCGTCGGCGTCGTGGCTGCCGGCACCCTCCTCCTCGGCCGTCTCCGGTTCCAATTCCTCCGCATCTTCATCCTCAAGCTCCTCTTCGTCAATGGTCGTCGGCATTTGTTGTTGTTGTAGAAAGCGGTTATTATGTCGGGCCAATTCTTGTTGGAGTTGTTCTTCGGACATCGCATCTCCATCTCGCCTTTGGTAACCCGTTTCAAAATCATCTCGGCTTTGAGATGAAGACCCGGCAAGTTCTTTACCTTTGCGGGATTTCTTCCTCCCAATCTCGTTTCTTCGATTGCGTTGGAGGTTACCCAAATCAACCGAATATCTACCACCTTCCATCTAAAAAATGTAACAAATATTAATTCACAACAAATATAATAATGGATACAAAACTAATGCAACTAATTAAAACTATTTTAATTAATACTTCAAACTAATTTTTTGCAAAGTAGAATTAATGTGTGTCTCTACAATTAAAATTATAGCAACTTTTGAAGTAAATAACTAGTACAAGTAAAAATGTAACAACAATGCTAATTAAGTAGTTAACTAGTATAGTGACAAATGTAACAAACTAACAACTAGTTAAATAAAATGTGAAGTATTTTAATTAGTATAATGAAAAATGTAACAAGAATGGTATTGAAGTATTGAACTAATTAACTAGTATAATGAAAAATGTAACAAGAATGGTATTGAACTAATTAACTAGTATAATGAAAAATGTAACAAGAATGCTAATTAAGTAATTAACTAGTATAATGAAAAATGTTACAATAATGGTAATGAACTAATTAACTAGTATAATGAAAAATGTAACAAGAATGCTAATTAACTAATTAACTAGTATAATACTAGTTATAGTAAGTAATATATAATATAATGTTTATATTATATAATATATAAGTATACTATACTATACGATGAGTAATACACTTATATTTTATACTTTAATATATAAATATATATTAAGTAGATGTAGAATGTATGTATTAAGTGGATATAATAATTGTATAAGAATTAAATATTAGAGTATAATGGAGAATTGGAGATTGGAAAATAAGTATATATAAAATATAAGTAGAGAAGTAGATATTATTATGTATTAAGTATATAATAATAGTTTATAAAGTATATTTAATACTTTATTATATAAAGTATATATTAAGTAGATATAGTATGTATGTATGTATTAAGAGATATAAGTAGAAATTAAGTAGATAAGAAATATAAGCAATATAGTATATGTAGATAATAATATATATAAGTAGATAATTAATATATAAGTAGATATAATAATTGTATAAGTATTAAATAGTAAAATAAAATATAAAGGAGAATAAGAGAATTAGAGAAGATGAATATGGAGAATTGGAGAATGGAGATGAGTAGAGAGTAGGATTTAGAAGAGTTGGAGAAGAGGTGTGAAAAAATGTTTAAAATTAGGAGTATTTATAGGTTTTTTTTTTAACCCCCACCCCCCACCCCAACCCCCCACCCCACCCCCCACCCAAACCCCCCTGACCCCCCCCTGGTACACCCAACGGCTATATAGCCGTTTGGGGTAGCCGTTTGAGCCAAAAGAATCCAAAAAAAAAATTTTTTTTTTTTTAAATAGTGGACCGTTAGGCCCGGGCCCGGGCCCGACCCGGCCGGGCCGGGCCTCCAAAACCAGGACCCGAGCCCGGTCCCGCTAACC